ATTATTGGGATGTAATACCGATGCTCTTCAGTTCACCCAATTTTAATTAGTTTTTGTCTGTGCTCTGAGTTAGGTGTCCAACTCCATTCTTTTCCATGTGGCTCTTCAGTGGTCTAAGAGTTCTTTGTTGTAAAGACTATTCTTTACACATTGTATTGGAGAAGGCAATGGCAACCCACTCCAGTACTCTTGCCTGGAAAATCCCATGGACAGAGGAGCCTGATAGGCTCCAGTCCACGGAGTAGCTAAGAGTCTGACATGACTGAGTGACTTCACTTTCACTTTTCACTTTCATGCATTGGAGAAGGAAATGGCAACCCACTCCAGTGTTCTTGCCTAGAGAATCCCAGGACGGGGAGCCTGGTTGACTGCTGTCTATGGGGTCACACAGAGTCAGACACGACTGAAGTAACTTAGCACACATTGTATGATCTCGGCACCCTTGTTGAAAATAAGTTGTTTGTAGATATCTGGGTTTATTTCTAGACTCTCAGTTCTCTTCTGTTGATGCGTATGTCTGTCCTTGTTCCAGTGTCACACTGTGTTCATTATTCCAGTTTTGCCCAGTTTGGTCATCCATCATCGGAAACTACAGGAATCACTCTGGATTGCTTCAGAAGTGTGCCCCTCGCCCCCTTGCTAGTCCTAACCCCTTTTCTCACTTTTCTCTGTTATTCCGAGTTTTACTGGTAACTGTGGGCCTTTAAGACTTGAAGTGAAAGTCGCTCAGTCATGTCCAACTCTTTGCGACTCCATGGACTATAGAGTCTATGGAATTCTCCAGGCCACAATACTGGAGTGGGTAGCCTTTCCCTTCTTCAGGGGATCTTCCCTACCCAGGGATCGAACCCAGGTCTCCCACATTGCAGGTGGATTCTTTACCAGCTGAGCCACAAGGGAAGCCCAAGAATAGTGGAGCGAGTAGCCTATCCCTTCTCCAGCGCATCTTCCCAACCCAGGAATAGAACTGGGGTCTCCTGCATTGCAGGTGGATTCTTTACCAACTGAGCTGTGACCTGGTGATTAATCAGCTGAGAAATTGTGATTAAGCTATTCCTTTGTTGACTTGCTATGGGTTTTGCTAAATGATTATTCATCTATAACTGCAGTATCAGTTTTTACATTTGGTTAGTTTGTTCCGGTGGCGAGGTAAATTGATCCTAAAACCCTTGGGAATGATAAAGTGTTAGATGAGTTTTTCCTGATGGTAAAAGTGCCTTTCTTAATATTAAAACCTAGTCTACCTACTGGCTTATTGTATAATAATGTTAATATTATCATTTTAAAAGTCAGATTTACTTTAAGGTAAGCTGAGGCAATAGTCTTTCCCCTGCCACTGCACCCACCCAGGCACACGGAAAGAAAGGGACACGGGGAAATGCAGTTCCTAAAGACTGTCAGGCTGTCCTGTTAAGTTCCCGTGATTTAGCATCATGAAATTTGTTCAGAATGAAATTAACTAAACATTTAACTTTGCCACCACCTAGAGGCAATTATGTCATACATGCTGTCTTTATTAAACTTTCTTAAATGCTACTTCCAGAGTAGATGTGGAACAAAAGTAAAAGGTAGATAAGTCTTTGTATATAATTTTTCTCTACCTCCTAAAGAATTGTCCTTTCCCTAGTGGGTGCTCAGCATGCACTGTGAGATTAAAACATAGTTGTTTACTGCTAAGCAAATCTGAATTTTACTAGAAGTTGCCAGTAGAAAATGGATCTCAGGGAATTGGGTGCTTTATAGGAATATTCATTGCAGATGTTCTTAAAAGTATCTCCTTTGTAAGTTGAATTCTCTATACTTTGCATAATATTACAATAGTATCTTTCTTTTATGATATCCAGTTCCTAGTAAGACAGTATAGACATTAAGAAATGAAACAATATTACTTGCAACAAATTCATAACTACTATGCAAGTATTTAGAAGGCTACTGTTGCCTAAGTATATACTTCAAAGGTATTTTCTTATTTTGTCTCTGAAAATCTCTAAGTTTACATATCTATGCCATGGTTAATTAAAGGGTTTTTAATCCTATTTTAAGATACAGTTCTTTTAAATAGGGTCATAATATGTGCAGACTATATATCTTATATATCTTATATTATTGAATAATTTAACAAATGTATGTAGCATCCTTTTAACAAAGGGTAATCTACTAAATGTTTAGTTTCCCTAATAATTATTTGTTGATATAAAATTGACAGCATAAAATAATTCTAAAATTACAGACAATATATTTTGACACATATCAGGAACTGTTGAACAAGTAAAGGAAATTCCTCAAAATGTAACAACTTAACACCAATTTGAAAGTATATGCTTTCCAAAATGTGTATGATTTTGTAAGAAGTTAACTTGTTTAGGAAGAGAAGCATTAGGTCATTGCAGAACAAGTATTTAACTGTTGGAAATCATAACACACATACCAATTGATGCTTGACTGAATCCTCCTTCTTCCCCAGACAGAGGAAATGACAGGATGTTATTCACATATGAAGATGGCTTCAAATTGTGTTTCTTTCCTCACATAAAATAATAGTTTACAGACATGCTATGCTGTTTGAATTAGAAAAACTTTAGCTCTAACTTTATTGTAGGAAGAAGTTGTGGAAGAGATTGAATTTGGTAGACATGTATATGGAATAAAATCCCAGGATATTAAATGAAAAATTTAAATAAATTATTTTTCAGTTATAATATTTCATATAAATGATCGTGTCCTATAACTCCATGGACAGCTGCTCTTACTTTACAGATAAAAAACATCATAAATAAGTGCATATGAATGTGGGATTAGAAAGCTGGGGTCATGGAAATTGTGCTTTTGCAAAGAAAATTTTATTCTAACTCTTAACCTGAAAAGATCTGTATCTAGCTCCATGTTTTTGCTCAGCTCTTCTTTTTTGAGTTCTTCCTGCCGCTTGCTAAAATATTCTGTGTATTACATAGGCCAGTACTGCCACCTTGTGCTCATTTCCTGAATTTCACCTGGCCATCCTTACTCCTTGTCTTTGGGCACTTCTTATTGCTGGCTTACTGGTTTAGTATTCCTCACATCTGCACGCTTTTGATCTCCGACTTCTGGTTAGAATCTCTTCTAGGGTTAGTTAGTTAGTTGCTGTTAGTCGCTCTGTCATGTCTGACTCTTTCTGACCCCACGGACTGTATAGCCCCATAACTCCTCTGTCCATGGGATTCTCCAGGCAAGAATCCTGGAGTGGGTAGCCATTCCCTTCTCCAGGGAATCTTCCTGATCCAAGGATCAAACCAGGGTCTCCTACATTTCAGGGAGATTCTTCACCATTGGAGTCACCAGGGAAGCCTGTTACCCTTTGAACCTAACAGAAGCATGAGATATTAAAAAGGAGTGGCAAGAATACACAAAAGAACTATACAAGAAAGATTTTCACGACCCAGATAACCATGATGGTGTGATCACTCACCTAGAGCCAGACATCCTGGAATGCACCGTCAAGTGGGTGTTAGGAAGCATCACTTTGAACAAAGCTAGTGAAGGTGATGGAATTCCAGTTGAGCTATTTCAAATCCTAATTCCTGATGCTGTGAAAGTGCTGCACTCAATATGCCACTAAATTTGGAAAACTCAGCAGTGGCCACAGGACTGGAAAAGGTCAGTTTTCATTCCAATCCCAAAGAAAGGCAATGCCAAAGAATGCTCGAACTACCACACAATTGCACTGATCTCACACGATAGCAAAGTAATGCTAAAAATTCTCCAAGCCAGGCTTCCACAGTATGTGAACTGTGAACTTCCAGATGTCCACGCTGGATTTAGAAAAGGCAGAGGAATCAGAGATCAAATTCCAACATCCATTGGATCGTGGAAAAAGTGACAGAATTCCAGAAAAACATCTACTTCTGCCTTATTGACTACACCAAAGCCTTTGACTGTGTGACTCACAACAAACTGGAAAATTTTTAAAGAGATGGGAATACCAGACCACCTGACCTGCCTCCTGAGAAGTCTGTATGCAGGTGAAGAAGCAATAGTTAGAACTGGACATGGAACAACAGACTGATTCCAAATTGGGAAAGGAGTATATTGTCACCCTGCTTATTTAACTTCTGTGCAGAGTACATCATGAGAAATGCTGGCCTGGAGGAAGCACAAGCTGGAATCAAGATTGCCAGAAGCAATATCAGTCACCTCAGATATGCAGATGACACCACCCTTACGGCAGAAAGTGAAGAAGAGCTAAAGAGCCTCTTGATGAAAGTGAAAGAGGAGAGTGAAAAAGTTGGCTTAAAACTCAACATTTGGAAAAAGATCATGACATCTGGTCCCATCACTTAATATCAAAAAGATGGGGAAACAATGGAAACAGTAAGAAACTTTATTTTTTTGGGCTCCAAAATCACTGCAGATGGTGACTGCAGCCATGAAATTAAATGACACCTGCTCCTTCAAAGAAAAGTTATGACCAACTTAGACAGCATATTAAAAAGCAGAGACATTTCTTTGCTAACAAAGGTCTGTCTAGTGAAAGCTAGGGTTTTTCCAGTAGTCATGTATGGATGTGAGAGTTGGACTATAAAGAAAGCTGAGCACTGAAAAATTGATGCTTTTGAACTGTGGTGTTGGAGAAGACTCTTGATCGTAGGGTCACAATGAGTCGGACATGACTGAGCGACTGTACTGAACTGAACTGTGTTATTTTCATCTTTATCCCCATTAATTCTCTCCTGGATATTTTGTAAGTGCATTTGAAGAGTAGTTAACATGACAACTGTCCATGACAAGACCTAAAAGTTAAATCACATCTGCCCAAAAGGAAGTAAAAATTAGCTTCCATGGCTTCTGTTTCATATCTGTAATTCTAGTGCCTACTTTGCTAAGGATATTCAAAACCTACTAGCTTGAGGAATTAGAATGAAACATAATTTCTCTAATTTATTTTATTTGATGATCATCCTTTTAAGAAAACACATTTTTATGGTTTATTTTTTACTTTTTTTTTTTTTTTTTTTTTTTTGCAGCTTTTATCGTTCCTTCAGGGTTTATTTACTTTCTACCATGAGGGATATGAACTCGCCCAGGAATTTGCACCATATAAACAACAGCTGCAGTTCAACTTGCAGAATGTAAGACTATACCTGTTCTCACCACCTCTCCTTAGTTAATCAGATGATCCCAGGGCAACTGAGTTATAGCCAAGCTGAACTTTGGAGGCTTTAAAAAACTTATCTGAGTACAATAAAGCCTCACTCATTTAGAAAAACCACTTAATAAATTTATTGATTTTTTAAAATAAGAGCTAATCTTATGTTAGAAAAATATATACTGGCAAATTTCATGAAAATTAAAATATCTGAGTGCAGAAACCTTGGAAACTGTTGCCTTTATCTAGTGTTTTCATTATTTTACTGAGTGACCCTAGGCATGTCGTATTTCCTGAGAGAGCAGTATTTCTATATTTGTGAAAGGAATTTTCACAATGGACATGCTCTTTCCCTTTCCTCCCTGAAGCTGTTTATTTTATAGGTGATATTTACTGTTTTCTAAAAATAAATTTAAATGTGGCTTTCAAGCATCCATAAAAGCTGCTTTAAAGCTTCAGGAAGAATTATTTAAAAACATCCTATCTATTTCTGGGAGAGTTTATTTTGCAAAGTTGTCCAGTAAATCCTTTTAATATTTGATTGCAGCTATATGAATTCTGATTTACATGTACTGGATACCAGTTACACTTTAAAAAGCTAGCCAGTCCATTCTGTATTATCAAATATGTCGCTCCGTTGCTAAGTCACGTCTGGACTCTGCAGCACACCAGGCCTCCCTGTCCTTTCACCATCTCCCGGGGTTTGCTCACACTCATGTCCACTGAGTCGATGATGCCAATAACAAAATCTTAATTGCTAAGGATTTTGTGTAAATCAAGAGTTATTTCTGAAACCGTGACTGGTACTCTGTAGCTAAGATAATTTGTGAAGGTTTCACTTAATTTTCTATAAAAAGCATGCCTTTCACTCCTTACCTGATTTTTGCCATTGTAAAGATGTTCAGCAAATAGAAATATGGAGTTGGAGCGTACCATGAGAAATAAGTAATTGCATTTATTCTACTTGTGTTTTGCATTTAGCTTTTTATTTAACCTAGATTTTCTCAGAGAATCAATTTCACATGCAATTCATTCCATTGTTTTTCAATATGGAATGCATTTGGGCTTTCTCAGTAAATATTAAAAGGGAAAATTATAAACCCAAAGTATTTTTATTATTTCCATATTAAATGCAATTGCAATAAGATTCCTGGGATTTGAGAACAAGAGACAGGTAAAATATTGGGAAAAATTCAGATCCTTATGTTTTAATGGGAAAAGCAGCAAAAGTGGCAATTAAGAAAACTTTCCTAACTTTACTTTGAGATTCAGATCTTTTATTAGGGGCCATAACAAAGTGGTAATCATCACTGCCTCACAGGTTGGTAATTATTCTTGTTTCCAAGCGCATATTGTTGAGATAATGTGACCTGAATGCAAAATTGATTTTCATAGAGAAAAGCCATATACTTTCTATTTCTTCCCTTAAGTAAACTTGCTATGGTGTAAGTAAATTATTTCCTATAATAGAAGACCTTAGAACTTGGAAACCTATTCATTTTTATGTGTTAACTTATGCATTGACCTCCTGATAACTATGTTAGGATTTTGGGAAAACAAGGTAAGTGATATTTCTTCAAAGAGGTGTTTGGAATAAAAATGATGAAGCTTTTTCTTGGTAAGTGCCTCATATATCAAAACTATGTGAATTTATTTTAACCCTCAAAACAAATTAAGTTACTGTGTATTTGCTTTTTTTTATCTTAGGTATTATGGGATACAAAATACTATTTTAATTAATATCTTGTTTTTGTAAGGCTATAAGTTATTCCCTAGATAATGTTAAGTGCAAAAGTGGATAACACACATATACACAGATTCAAAGAGAAACATGCAGAAGGTCATTCAGAAAAGTTTCACTAAAGCAATTCAAAATTAGAGCATGGGATTCAGTGTAGATGGTGGTGGATATGGTGAACGGTCCTGAAAGAGTCAAAGTTATCCTTAGCACCATTTGTAGTCTTGAAACCTTAGACTGGGTGTTCCTCAAAACTGGTAGAAAACACTGAATGAAATTGTTGTTTCTATTTACTAAAGACGAGGAATAATTTTGAAAGTACTCGACAAGAGGTAGAGCGATTGATGCAGAGGATGAAATCTGCCAATCAAGATTACCGGCCACCCAGCCAGTGGACAATGGAAGGCTACTTGTATGTCCAGGAGAAACGTGAGTTGCAAAGATGTAGATTAATGTCTCTTAAGATTAGCATTCTGTTTTCCATGAGACGTGAGTTGGTTACTTACTTTTCCATCAAGAAGGAAGACTGAAATTCCTTACAGCTTTATCCTATGTGGTCTGCTTGGCCAGTGACTATCACTGAATGTGGAAGTTTTTCCACTTTTCACCATTGGATTCTCTAAGCTGGTATGTTTTTGAACTTGGAACTTAGAATCTTCTTGATGATACCGTAGCATGAGTTCAGTTTTAGAATTTAATTATGGTGTCTGATCTCAATGCAAAGTTTCATGGAGAATTAAAACCCAAAGCCTTTATCAGATAGATCATCTTGGTGACTTTGGTAGTGGTTTTCCCCTTCAGCAGCATTATGTTGTTTAATTCTGTGCTCTGACAATTTTCAGGAGTAAAACTGGCAATTATGTAATATCAAACTGGGACTGTTTACTTCCTGGTGTTGGGAAATAAGCTTCAGATCCAATAGAGCGCTATTATAATTGCCTCACACTGAGAAGTTTTTCTCACAGTAGTTAATAAAAGCCATTCAAACTTGTATAACTAGGGTCCTTTTTTTGTCATTAAAACCAGAGTACCCTAAAACACTCTCTTACTCTTTGTGTTGAAGGAACAGTTGTTTGCATCTCCAGTGCATCATGGGTCAGGGTCTTCATAAAACACAGAATCACGTGCCTGAATTGTGCAGTAATCTCAGATTGCTCTAAAAGTTGTGAAATGCCTATTCTCACTTTCTGTAGTTCTTCTCACATGTGTGGACTTGAAGATGACATGGAGTAGCATTGCCCTAAGCCTCCCCATCTCTAGACAATAGATCAGGGTAGTTGTCTTGAAGACATTATAGTTAAAGGGTTTGAGATGTGGAAGCTGTAGATGTTGACTGTGAAAGTTTTGGGGGCATAATGCAAAATGATCACTAATATGCCAAGGTAGTTTATATTTGACATGATCAGATGATTGTCATTTGTTCCTTAACAGTACACAAGCAGATAACAGTTTGGTCCAGTAGTCTCAGCAAACATTTATTACTACATTGGTCATAGTGGGCTGCTGGCTCAGGGGATCTGGTTTCAGGATTTTCCCTCTCATAGCTATCTACCTCGACCAGTCTACTGTTTTCAGATGTTAAAATGATAAATCTAATGTCCGGCTTTTATAATCTATAATTAAAATATAATAAATAGGTTTTTCCAAAATTTCATGAAAAAAGACCAATTCATTGATCATATATGCAGAGTACATGGATCTGACTCAGGTCCCTAAGAAAGATTCTGCATACTGAATGGTTTTTCCATATTTGAGAGCCTCAGTGTGAGGGTACATGGAAGGGAGCTTACACTGTGTCTGTTGGGGGAATATGTGGATAGTGAGGCTTGTCAAATCTGCATCTGGTAGAGGAGGTGTGGTCCTGTTGCCCAAAGATTTTTTATTCATTGCAGCTCAGCAATACTTTATTTCTTGAGGTCCCCCCTCACCCCTGTTGTTAACACAGTTGCTAAAATTATTTTGGGTATACAATATGTTCTAATCAAAAAAGCTTTGGATTACCTAGCAAAATTCTTGTACACATAGTCTTGACATATGTCCTGTTCAGTCACTACTTGGTAGCCCATCCACTGGATGGTGCCAAGGTTTGCTTACCTATTCCCCAGCTGTTGGACATTTGGATCATACTGAAAGCATAAGCCCTTTAATAATCTGGGGTCTGGATGCATGGACAGAATGCAGTGTTTTATGCACCTGTCTGATGTTGATATCTTTTATTCTCAGATACCTGACTTCTTCTCTGGGTCAGTCTGAAATGATCATAAAGCCCTTTGTGGCACTGACCTTTTCTCTGAGAGTTCCTATCCCTCTAACATCTGCTTTTAGGCTGCAGAACTCAGGTAAATCTTCAATTCCAGAGTCTCTGTAGCCTGGGACCAAATCTGTCTGTCTCCTTGATAACCTGTGAACCCATACCTTCTCTCCATCTCCATAGTCTTGCACTGGTCTCCTCACTGTTCTTTTTCGCCTCCAGGCTTGTCAACCTCAGTCTGTTCTCAGAGAGCTTCCAGCAGCTTCCCCTGCAGTGCTTACTTGGTTGTGCCTCTCCTGTGATGGCCGTGGTCACGCATGGCATTCAAGGCTCCCCTCTATTTGTAGCATCCTCTCTTATGACATTCTTCCTGTTCCCAGGACAGCGTCCATCTCCATTTTACTCTATATCTGCCTGTGCTGTTTTTATAGCTTTAGTGAGGCACACTTGGCATGCAATAAATTGCACATATTTAAAATGTACAATTTGATCAATTTTGCCACATGTATCCACCAATGAAGCTATCACCACAGCCAACATAACACATGTATTCATCACTCTCAAAAGTGTTATTTTGCCTCACTGTAATCCCTCACTCCTTTCATTCCCAATCACCATCCTCACTTCTTCCTTTTGCCTAGGGATTTTAAAAGGAAAATGAATGGGATTATATGCTTTGGAATTATTTTTCTATGAGGAAAAAGTACTCAAAGCCCCTTTCTTCTTGGAATCTTTGAGAGCATTTATGTTAAGAAAATCTGGCCATTTCACTAAGACACATTGATTGTGCTCTTGCTATCCCTGAGTAAGTTTTGTGGAGAACAGAAAAGGAGATAAGGAGATGAAGAATATGGCTCCAAGATGTTTATTCAGTTGTGGGAGGTACAAGACGGATAGACTTACACAATTAGCAACCAGTGATCAATAGTAAATATCAGAGCTGTAAACTGATTGATAAATGGAGATGGATGTAATGGCATGGTAGCAGATGATTGCTATTTAGGCACAGCACTCCACTCCATTTGGGTATGTGGTTTGTATGTTACCCACCTGCAGGTATGTACTGAATTGCTTTCTGGTAGACTCCAGTTTAAGCAGGAAGAGCCTGGGGTCCAGAGTCAGATAGAACTACACTGGAATGTCATGCCACCTGTTAACTGGGTGATTCTGGGTAGGCAACTTGCTGAGCTCCGTCTCCTCATTTATAAAAGAGGCATATTTATATCTACTCTCATAATAACATTGTAAGAATTGGAGATAATGTATACAGAATGTCTCTGCTATCTGTAGTGGCACACGGGAAGACCGCTGTACTTCAGGACCCCATACTATTCTGTGCAATTTGTATTTGTGTCATTTCATTCTTCAAACAACTCCTGAGAAGTAGCGTTCCTCTAAAAAGAACAGCTCCAACCACACGCCCTGTTAATGAAGAAAGCTGCACCATCTGCTGCTCTTAAACTTTACTTTCTTTTATGTAAAATGCTCTTTATAATGTCTGACTCTGAAAGTTCCTAGATAGAATGTTGACACTTAGTAGGTATCCAGTGAATGTTAATTCCTTCCCAATCCACAGACATCATCTCAGCAACCTCAGATGAACACTGGATAAGATAATTAAACTTGGTTTGGTTTGCAGCTTCAGAGCTTTAATAAATTTTATTTTCCCAGACATTTTTTTAGGGACTTCAGAATCACTTGCCTAAGAACATCTGCCCTGGCCTGGTGCCAAGCAACTTTAAAGAAAGCAGCCGGTGTGTGCAGCACATTTGAAGACCAAATGCATGGAGTTCTGAAGTTAACACAGAGGCAGGATGAAACATCTTGGGTCTAATAGGTCATCAGAGTGTTGCAGCAGTTTTATTTAAAAATTATAGCTAATATTGCTTCATAAATTGCTTCCTAAGTAGTAAAGTCACTATAAGGATTTCTATCCAGCCACTTTCCGCTAATCAATTGTAAGCCTTTAAGTATTTTATACCACATGTAACAGAGTTATCAACAAGTATTATTAAGTATTACAGTATGAAATAGTCCCAAAACAGAATTGAAGTTAATTGCAGTAATCCTTTGTGATTACCAAGTATATAGCTGCACCCCATAATTTTAAAGTCTGGAGTGGTGTAAGTATTAAAGCTACATATGATACCAAGGGCACTATTATTAGAAAAAAAATTCAAATGGCTCATGAAACACTTTTCTCAAGAGGTGCATTTTTACAATTTGGTTTCTTGGTTTTGAATACATTGTTATAAAACCCAGCCAGCAATAACATTGTGTATAATTGTTGCTAGAGAGAGCCTGTGTGGAGAAGCTTTAGGAAACAAGCTCCACTTCCAACCCACTCAGCCCACTGGGGCACTTGGGTGCAAGATAATTGGCTTCCCTGTGGGAAAGACGCAGTCTTCTGCCGAGGTCATGAAATCATTGAACTCGTGATGCATCCATTTGCCCAGGGGAAGCAGCATTGACCAGTTTCTAAGGAGAACACTGGATGACAGAGTGGTATGCAGTGGGAAAGGGTTGCATACCGCAGCAAGATTATATTTATGGAGAAAAAGAAAGTGAACATTATACATGCATGAATGCTAAGTTGCTTCAGTTGTGTTTGACTCCTTGGACTGTAGCCCACCAGGCTCCTCTGTCCATGGGATTCTTCAGGCAAGAATACTGGAATGGGTTGCCATGCCCTCCTCTAGGGGATCTTCCCAACCCAGGTTTCAAATGCACATCTCTTAACGGCTCCTGCATTGTCTGGTGGGTTCTTTATCATTAGCACCTTTGACCCCATGGTCTGTAAGCCCACTAGGCTCTTCTGTCCACGGGATTCTCCAGGCAAGAATAGTGGAGTGGGTTGCCTTTCTGTTCTCCAGGGGATCTTCCTGACCCAGGGATCGAACCTGGGTCTCCTGCACTGCAGGCGGATTCTTCACCATCTGAGACACCAAGGAAACCCTTCATTTTAAAGGGAGATTTGAATTTAACTTTTTCAGATTAGCGTTAAAAGGGAACAGCTCTGTGGTCAATAAAGTCTTAGAGAAAGATGAATAATTCATTCCTTCATTCATCAAATCTTTATTGAGGAGCAACTATGTGTCTGGCCCTGTTCTATGGATTAAGAATATGCTATTCCACAGAACATCACTTGTTCCTTCTCTCATAGAGCTATAGATTCTAGTGATGGATGCAGACAGTAAATAGGATGAATTAGTAAAGTGTTAACATATACTTGTTAACTGCTGAGAAGAAAGTAAAGCAAAAAAAAAAAAGAGATAAGAAGTGAAATGTCATGGTGAAGGTGTTGTAATATTAGCTATCTCTACAGAAAGGGCCATATTATAAAGGTGCCATTTAGGAAAAAACCTGAAGGAAGTGACAGTTTAAGTCATGCAGGCATCTTCAGGAAGTTATCCGGTGATTGGAAATGCCCTGGGGTAGAAATGCATTCTCCGTGTTCAGAGACCAGCAGGGTCCAGTGTAACTAGCATCGAGTGTAGGAGGCAAAAGGCAGTAAGACCAATAATATCCTTCTATCCAGATCATTTGGAGCCTTCAGTTTATATCTGGGGAGATGTGAGAAATGACTGGAAAGTTTTGAACAAAAGGATGAAATGACCCGGCTAAATTTTGAGCAGGGCATTTCTGGCAGTTTTGAAAATAGGCGACAAAGGAAGATGTAAGGAGACCTGTTATAGCGCCTCAGACTGTTCCTTCTCATCCTTCCCACATCTGTGGGTAAACCACGGAGATAACTAAAGCTGAGAGCTAAAGTAACTCTCGAGTTTACCAAGTCTGTCAGGGCTGCAAATTAAGCCAAGTTGTCTGGTTGCAAGACATTCTACCCTATAGCCCCAGACTGGCCTTTCTTACTCATAGTAAGCATTCCTGACTTGCGTGGTCTATGGAAATCCTCAGTTATACTTCATAGCATTGAAAACTGCACAAACTTAGATGCAACTCCTACATTAACAGTCTGTATTGTTTGTTTCCTTTCATTAGGACCTCTTGGTTTTACATGGATTAAACATTATTGTACATATGATAAAGGAAGTAAAACTTTTACAATGAGTGTTTCAGAAATGAAATCCAGTGGGAAAATGGTGAGTCATCTTTTTTTTTCCTATTGTTTTTTAACTGAACTTGTTATTTAAATGGAAATAAAAATCATATGAGCTTATTTTTCTAATAAACGTGTTCACAATTTTTAAAAATTGAAAAGTCTCAAAAGTTTTCTCTCACTTTAAATGACCTTGGTGACTTAAAAAGAAGAGTGGTACTTCTCCTTCACTTTGGCCGTGACTCTCGATAAGCAGTTACATTACGTGTACGGACCCCTCGGTGGATGGCATCTCACATTCCTGGCAGCAGAGTCGTTTGTGGTGTTGTTTGCCAGCAGCCCACAGAGGTTGTCAGGGGCAGGCTGAGGCTCACAGAGTCCGCCTCTTTCTTCCCGGTGGTTTCCTGTGCGTTTGCTCCTGCATGCCACAGTCCCCGCAAGCACTGAGTCCTCCTTACTGAAATGCTGGCCAACAAAGTTTCTCAGAAGAAATCAGTGAGTGCTGAGATCAGTCAGTCACTGATGTCTCACCTGGGTGGTGAACAGCACAAACTAAGTGAACTTTGTATGCGGAAGTGCTGCAGGGTGCAACACCTTTATTGCATGTAGTTTGCAATCTTTTTGTGAGTTAAGATATGAATATGGCAAACGATGAGACCTACAAATAAGATGACTGAGCTGTCACCTGAGAATCCTAGAGCTGGAAGTTATCCTAAATATCATTGAGGCTCGCCTCCTTTTAACTGACTACAAGATAAAGATGGTAGAAAGTAAGTGACTCCCCCAGCTAATTTGTGGTATCTATAGGTAAATGTTGACCTAATTTAGACACATGTTCAAATATACCAACTGAAACTTATTGTGCTTGGGCATTCAATAGAGTCTGATAATTCAAAGTGACAGATATAAAGTAAAGGAGAACATACCAGAGAAAAAGAAATCTTATATTGCTACCATCACGAGAAGTTGTTAAATGCTGTAATCACACCTTAGTTTCTACTCAAGTTTTTGTAAGAAAAGCTGTTGCCCAGAAGTGAGTTCATGTGACAGTAGTGAGATAGTAAAGAGACCAAGCCAGAATTCTACTAATAAATCTGTAAGATTTGCAACCAGAGACAATAGAATTAACCAGGCATTAGGTAAATATTCTCCTTAAAATTGAATGGCTTTTCAGGTATAGAAGAGAATTGTGAATTGAGCTTAGGTTGGATTCTGTCCAAAGAGGTTTAGTTTCAGAAGCAGACTAGCAATTGGTTACCAGCAGAAGAATCACATGGTATGCATGATAGTAATAGCGTTATAACAAATCTACTAGAGCTTTATTATTTTGGTAACTCTCTTGAGATTTGGAGTCAACTGTCAGCTGTCATTTAATACTCCACAGCTCTGATTCAAATATATACACATTATAGTATAATTTAACATAAGTAACTATTTTGAAGGGTAATAGGCACAGAATTCCCAGAGTTCTTTGAATAAAACATATATGTGATTAATTTATTAATAAATGGTTTGGTGTATTACAGTTGGGAAGTTAACGTTAGCCAGACATCTTTGTATTAATATTTATAGAAATAGGGCATGATTATGATCTTTATACATAAACTGTACTCTAAGTTATTTTAATATGGAAACTTTAGATGATGTACTTAATATATTTCAGTTCACTCTGTCATCATGTCAAAAATATGTTCCACCTCTTGTTTCAGAATGGCCTTGTTACTAGCTCACCAGAAATGTTTAAATTAAAATCTTGTATCCGACGAAAGACGGATTCAATTGATAAACGATTTTGCTTTGACATAGAAGTGGTCGAAAGGTTTGAACTTTTCACTTTGTATTTTTTAATAATCTAAATTATTTGTTTAGGTTAATTATTTTTTTCTTTCTGTGTATAGCTCTAAATATGAAACAGCATAAAGTGCTTGTTTTTTTCAGTCTCTTTTTTAAAAAGCAATATATGTTTAATTCATTCTTTCACTTGTTTATTCAATAAATATGGATTACATGATGCTTTCAAAAAAATAAATTAGATACAGAGTGCTACCAAAGGGTAATGTCATACAGCGAAGAATCTGAGAAACTAGTGTAAATGAGTGCCTTAGTCAAAAGAAGACATTGTGGACTAAGGTCCCCATCCCAGTGAAGGAGCCTGACGGCCTTGTTCACAGCTCCTGGGTCAGCCTTTCTGTATGGTTTTGAAACCTGGTGGCCTTGCGCCGAAGGGTGAAAAACACACTGCTACACTTGCCGTAAGCTTCCTTTGGCCAGTGAAGTTCAGTGCCTTCCGTGCACACAGCACTGTTCTGGGCAATCTTGGTCACAGGGTATTGGGAGAGACATAAAGGTTGGGCAGCCAAGCTCATCATCCAGTGGAATTGTTTACCTGTACTCATTTATCGTTTCAAGTAGAATAGAAACAAAGTAAGGAAAAGTATGTTTCTTGATCTCTGTTGTATTCCATAATCTATTCTTCCCCTGTATTGCCACCATGCTTCTGAATACTCTAGCTTTGCATGTAAATATATACTATACACTCTAACATACTGTATACACTGTTATATACCATAGCTTACATATACTATAGATGATAATTATTTAGTAGGACTTGGTCCCATCCTTACACTTCTTTAAAACAGTGCTAGCTGTTTTGGCCCTATGTTCTTATACTTTGTAGATCTGCTGAGTAAGTTTCCTTTTCTCTCCAAAAATTCCTTCGGGATTTTTGACTGGAGTTCTGTTATTAGTTAATCAATGGTAAATTGAACTCTCCCTAAGATTTTATATATCTTTTTTTTTTCCCCTATTTTGCTTTTGGGTGTTTTCTTTTCATTGAAATTTTGAATAGGATTCTGTCATTAGTAGAAAACTCATTTTTGTTTTATAGTTGAAACTGATGTGGAAAGACTATTAACTTTTTTATATATCAATTTATATCCATTGGTTTTATTAATTTTGTGATAGGAACTTCTTGATTTTCTTTGTAGATGGATACTAACATGTTAGTGATTTTTCTTTTCTTTTTTTTCAGTGCTTTCTAGATATATAACCTTGGAGCACACTGTTAAACCCTGTGCTTCAGTTGTTTCATCTGTAAAATGAGGCTAATCACTATGCACATCAAAGGGTTGTTGTGAGGAATAAATAGGTTAATGAAGGAGACGTAACAGTGCCTGGCACACAATAAACAGCCTACAAGTAGTGTTGTTATTACTGCTGCTTTAAACTGGCTTAAATTACCCAAGATAAAATTACTTTGATCTTTATAATCAGTTTCTCCATTTCTTATCAGTATAATGATCCATTTTCCTGTGTCCATGAAGATATATCCCTTTGTCACAGTCTTAACTCATTCTAGGCTTGTAATTACACAATATTTAAATGAAATTTCCTTCTTGTTGTACCTTGTCCCAGAGCCCTCTAAGTTTCTGTTTATCCTATGAACAGCTTGCACAGTTCATTAGGTTAATTTCCCTTTTTTTTATGGATTTTCTGTCTTTTTCTCTCATATTGATTTCATCTCTCCCTTTGCTTGCTCTTTCTTGAAGCACATCCTCAAGTAGCTATTTCAGAATGGGTGCATGGGAGAGAGTTGTTTTTTAAAGTGTTAATGGTAATACTGTGATCATTGTATAAACACTTTGGTCTTATTGTCTTCTGTCCAATTAACTAGTTATGGTATAAGGCTTCTCATATTGCTATATGAAAGTGAAGTGGCTCAGTCATGTCCGACTCTTAGCAACCCCAGGGACTGTAGCCTACCATGCTCTTCCGTCCATGGGATTTTCCAGGCAAGAGTACTGGAGTGGGTTGCCATTTCCTTCTCCAGAGCATCTTCCCGACCCAGGGATTGAACTCAGGTCTCCCACGTTGTAGGCAGACGCTTTACCGTGAGCCACCAGTGAAGTCCATATTGCTATATACTCATTGTAATTATTTTTAGTGACTAGATGATAATACACTGGGTCATATTCTTAATCATTCGCATATTGTGGATTGTTTATGTGGTTTTGAACTTTGATGAATGTAGCTCTTTCATCCTTTTCAGTCATTTTAGGGGAAGTAGTTTGAAACTAGCCTCCTTTGGACAGTCTTACACCTAAAACACTTAGGATTTCTTTTCAGTTTTTTAATTTCTTATTTGTTTTCTCTATCTGTATTCTTTTCTCTCTTTTCATTTTTTTCTCTCTCCTGCTTTTTCTTCAAACTTTACTTTTATAGTTAACTAAGAATTTAAATAAATAACATATGTTTAAAGGCATAAAAAGGTGAATTGAATATATAAAATACTTGTTTTTAATAGGCATGGGATCATCACATTGCAAGCCTTTTCAGAAGCTAATAGAAAACTCTGGCTTGAAGCCATGGATGGGAAGGAACCGGTAGGAATACGACACATTCTATAATCTCGATTTTATTGTTCTAATAATTGCACAGTATGTCTAAAAAAAGTTATATGCCTATATATAGTATATTTGAAAATATTAAAATAGCAAATCCGAGGAGTAGAGACTTACTGTTTTCTCGTGTTGTGTCACTGGCACATAACACCAACTTTTGAATTTGCTTTCAGGAATACTTCTAGGACTAATTTAAAACCTAAAATTACTTTAAAAAATTACTTATAATCATTAATTTGGCTACATTGTTCGGATTGCTTCTTTTAGTTAATAGTTCTTGAGTGTCTTCTCTTTGCAAGGCCAGTGTGAGGTTTTATGATCAACATGATGAACAAATTTCAGGGTAACCTAGACCATGGGTTAGAAGTGTCCTTTGATAAAACTGTTTGTAGCTTGACATTTCCCTCAGTCGAGAGCCCCATTTTTCTAACAGGTAATTTGATATTGATATAAATTCACTTAAAATGATCAAGGAGGCTTATATAAAAAGGGAATATGCCACCGATGACTTCTGTGAAGCACAAGGCACTGAGTGCTTAGAGAGGAGCACGCAGAGCCGGTAGAAGACAGCAGCCTGTCCCTTGAAAGCCATCTTTTAAATGGCAAACAACTTGTCAACATCCTTGTAAAAATACCTGTGCAACAACAGAGTTACACAAAGTGTGGACCCTAGACTTTGAGTCTATCCTACAAACTATTACCAGCCTACAGTGAGTACAGAGATTATGATTAAGGATCTGGAAGATTTTGTAGCAGTTAGAAGTCATTTTACATCTGTTGAATTTAATAATAAAAAATTTTAGACTGTCTATTCTTGATTATGTTTATTACATTTACATTTTATTGTAATTTACAAAATTATCAGTCAATGACAGATTAAAAATTAAAAGCAAAGCAACTTGTCTCTTTACTGCTAATAGTTGAGAGGCAAGCCCTGACCTAGAGGAAATTTAGAAGACAGTGTGATAGCTTAACAAGCACAAGTTAGGGTACATGCTACCCTAAACACTAAGCAGATAATTTGAGGAAGAAACAGTCAGGTGCAATCCATCATGAGGTACTTCCTGAAGAAGGGAGATTGTGCATCATGTTGGAGAATAGAATGAGATGCTTAGATCAGAGGGAAAGAGGTAAAACTTTCCCCAGGGCAGGACAGCAAGGGAGGAAAAGGAGTGGAAGGCAAGACTGGAGGAGGACATTTTGCACACAATAGTTGTAGGACCTTGAAATCGAGACACTCCCTTTGTATATCATTGAACCAGTATCACCCTGGTAATTGTCTGCTGTGGCTCATTAACTGCAGATGACTGTCTGACTTCTTTTGTTTTCCAGATTTATACCCTGCCTGCAATTATCAGCAAGAAAGAAGAAAGTAAGTTGTTTTAATAATTATTTGAAATGTTATCATGTAGATTTTTTTTTTTTTAATTGATGTAAATGGCAATCCACTCCAGTATTCTTGCCTGGGGGATCCCATGAATAGAGGAGCCTGGCAGGATATAGTCCACGGGATCACACAGAGTCAGACATGACTTAGCGACTAAACCACAACAACAAAAATAACAAATTAGTTTCAGCTATACAACAAAATAATTTAATTTCTATATAAACAGTAAAGTGATTACTGCAATAAGTCTAGTACTTCCTGTCACCATAAAGTTGTCCTCTTTCATCCATTTCACCCACCTTCCAACCCTCTCCCCTCTGATAATCATGAGTCTGAGTTTGGTTTCTATTTCTTTGTTTTATTGTTTACATTCAACATATACATGAAATCATGTGGTATTTGTCCTTCTCTGACTTACTTCACTTAACAAAATGCCTTTGAGTTCTCTCCATATTATTGCAAATGGCAAACAAAAAAATTCCTTTTTTATAGCCGAGCAGTAGTCCATTTTGTGTATATACCTTATCTTCTTTATCCAGTTCTCCCGTCAGTGTTACTTTAGATTGTGTCCATATCTTAGCTATTGTAAATAATGCCACAATGAATATAGAGATGGATATATCTTTTCAAATTAGTATTTTTCATTTTCTTTGGATGAATACCCAGAAGTGGTATGGTAGTTTGTTCTTAAACCGTGGGGTGCCTTTGTACTATTTTCCATAGTTGCTGCTCCAGTATACATTCCCACCAATAGTGTACAAAGTTTCTCTTCTCTCCACATTCTCTGTAAAACTTCTTTTTTTGTCCTTTGGATAATAGCCATTCTAGCAGGTGTGAGTGATATCTCATTTTGATTGCATTTCTCTGATGATTAGTGGTGTTCTTTTCATGTGCCTGTTGACCATCTGTATGTGTTTTGAATAAAATATATAAATCCTCTTCCCATTTTTAAATAAATTGTTTTTTTACTATTCAGTTGTTTGAGTTCTTTATGTATTTTTTGATATTTGCCCCTTATCACATATATGATTTGCAGATATTTTCCTTCATTCAGTAGGTCACCAGTGCATTTTGTTGATGATTTCCTTTGCTGTACGGAAGCTATTCAGTTTCATATAGTCCCACTTGTTTATTTTTGCTTTTGTTGCCTTTGCTTTTGAGGTCAGATTCAAAAAATTCCATGTCAACACTGATCCTAAAGAGCTTATTACCTACGTTTTCTCCTAGAATTTTTATGTATTCAGGCCTTATGTTTAAGTTGTAATCCATTTCAGTTTGATTTTGTGTGTGGTACTATATTCATTTCTTTGCAAGTGTCTGTCCAATTTTCCAAGCACCATTTATTGAAGCGGCTGCCTTTTCTCATTTTATATTCTTGACTCCTTTGTCATAAATTATCTATACGTGAATATGTGGTTTATTTCTAGACCCTCTGTTCTCTTCCATTGATTATTTGTCTGTATTTGTGCCAGTACCACGCTCTTCTGACTGCTGTAACTTTATAGTTTACCTTGAAATCAAGGACTTTGATACCTCCACCTCTATTTATTTATTTATTCATTCGAGGAGTTGTTTTTCTGATGATTCTTTAGTTTTTCTGGTGATTCTTTTGTCTGAAATCTGCCTTATCAGTTTCTTTTATGGTTCCATAAAATTATTGAATGATTAGTTCTAATTCTGTGGTGAATGCCTTTGGTAGTTTGATAGGGATTGCACTGAATCTGTAAATTGCCTTGGTTCATATGATCATTTTAATGATATTGCTTCTTCCAGTTTATAAGTGTGGTATACCTTTCCATTTGTGTCATCTTTAATTTCTTTCATCAATATCTTAAACTTTTCAGTGTGTGTCTTTCACCCCCTTGTTTAAGTTTTTTCTAGGGTGTTTCTTTTTTATGCAGTTGTAAATGTGATTGTTTTCTTAATTTCTTTTTCTGATATTTTGTAATTAGTTATAGGAATACAGCAGATTTCTGTATATTGATTTTGTATGATGAAACTTTACTGAATTTATTTATTAGTTCTAAGAGTTTGTGGTTTTTTGGTGGAATCTATAGTTGTTATTATTGTTTTTTTTAATATAGTATCATGTCATCTGCAAATAGTGACATTTTTCCTTTATCCTTTCCAATTGGGATTTCTATTATTTCTTTTTTTTCCCTAACTGCTGTGGCTAGGACTTCCAATATTATGTTGAATTAAAGTATTTTAGAGTGAGTATTCTTATGTATAGTTCCTAATCTTAAAGGAATATTTGTCAGCTTTTCACTATTTAGTATTATATTATCTGTGGGTTTGTCATATATAGCCTTTATTGTGTCAAAATATGTACCCGCTCTGCCCACTTTGTTGAGAGTGTTTATCATAATTAGATGCTGCATCTATGGAGACAGTCATACATTTTTTAATGCTTCATTTTGTAAGTATGAGTGTCATACTTATTGATTTGTGGAGGCAGAACAAGCTTTGCATCCTTGGAACAAGTCTTGATGATCATGATCATCCTTTTCATATATGGTTGAATTCAGTTTGGCTTTACAGGTGATGCTAGTGATAAAGAACCTGCCTGCCAATGCAGGAGCCACTAGAGAGGAGAGTTTGATCCCTGGGTCAAGAAGATCCCCTGGAGGAGGGCATGGCAACCCACTCCATTATTTTTACCTGGAGAATCCTGTGGACAGAGGAGCCTTGTGGGCTGCAGTCCATAGGGTTGCAAAGAGTTGGGCATGACTAGCACACAGTCATGAAGCAACCAAGCATGCAGCATACACAAATTCAGTTTGCTAATATTCTGTTGAAGACTTTTATATTCCGTTGGAGATATTGGCCTGTAATTTTCTTTTTTTATGTGTCCTTGTCTGTTTTTGTTATCAGGATAATGCTGCCTTCATAAAATGACTTTGGATGTATTCCATCTTCTTCACTTTTTGGATTAGTTTGAGGATAGATATTCAGTCTTTATGTTTGATAAAATTCACAGGTGAAGCTGTCTGATGCTGTACTTCTGTTTGTTGGGATTTTTTTTTTTTTTTTGGGCAATCTCTTTACTAATAATCAGCCTATTCAGATATTCTGTTTCTTTATATTTCAGTCTTAGAAGTTTATATGTTTCTAGGAATTTATCCATTTGATCTAAGTTATCCAATTCCTATGCCCCAACAAGTAATGCTGAAGAAGCTGAAGTTGAACTGTTCTATGAAGACCCATAAGACCTTCTAGAACTAACACCCAGAAAAGATGTCCTTTTCATTATAGGGGACTGGAATGCAAAAGTAGGAAGAAAAGAGATACCTGAAGTAACAGTTCGGCCTTGGAAAACAGAATGAAGCAGGGCAAAGGCTAAAGAGTTTTGCTAGGAGAACACACTGGTCATAGTAAACACCCTCGTCCAACAACACAAGAGATGGCTCTAAACATGGACATCACCAGACGGTCAACACTGAAATCAGATTGATTATATTCTTTGCAGCCAAAGATGGAGAAGTTCTATACAGTCAGCAGAAACAAGACTGGGAGCTGACTGTGGCTCAGATCATGAACTCATTGAAAATTCAAATTTAAATTAAAAAAAGTACGGAAAACTACTAGACCATCCAGGCATGACCTAAAGCAAATACCTTACATTATACAGTGCCAAATAGATTCAAGGGATTAATCTGATAGAGTGCTTGAAGAACTATGGGTGGAGGTTCATGACATTGTACAAGATGCAGGGATCAAGACCATCCCTAAGAAAAAGAAATGCAAAAAGACAAGATGGTTGTCTGAGGAGGCCTTACAAATAGCTGAGAAAAGAAGAGAAACTAAAGGCAAAGGAGAAAAGGAAAGATATATGCATTTGAATGCAGAGTTCTGAAGAATAGCAAGGAGAGATAAGAAAGACTTCCTCAGTGATCAATGCAAAGAAATAGAGGGAAACAATAGAATGAGAAAAATTAGAGATCTCTTCAAGAAAAGTAGAGATACCAAGGGAACATTTCATGCAAAGATGGGCACAATAAAGGACAGAAACAGTATGGACCTGACAGAAACAGTATGGGCCTAACAGAAGCAGAAGATATTAAGGAGAGGTGGCAAGAATACACAGAAGAACTATTCAAAAAAGATCTTCATGACCCAGATAATCATGATGGTGTGATCACTCACCTAGAGCCAGACATCCTGGAATGTGAAGTCAAGTGGGCCTTAGGAAGCATTACTATGAACAAAGCTAGTGGAGGTGATGAAATTCCAGTTGACCTATTTCAAATCCTAAAAGAGGATGTTGTGAAAGAGCTGTGCTCAGTATGCCAGGAAATTTGGAAAATTCAGCAGTGGCCACAGGACTGGAAAAGTCAGTTTTCATTCCAATCCCAAAGAAAGACAATGCCAGAGAAGGTTCAGACTACTGCACAATTCCACTCATCTAACATGCTAGCAAAATAATGCTCAAAATCCTCCCAGTCAGGCTTCAACAGTACATGAACCGTGAACTTCCTGATGTTCAAGCTGGATTTAGAAAGGGCAGAGGAACCAGAGATCAAATTTCCAACATCCATGGGATCATTGAAGAAGCAAGAGAGTTCCAGAAAAACATCTACTTCTGCTTTATTGACTATGCCGGAGCCTTTGACTGTGGATCACAATAAACTCTGGAAAATTCTGAAAGAGATGAAAATACCAGACCACCTGACCTACCTCCTGAGAAATCTGTATGCAGGTCAAGAAGCAACAGTTAGAACTGGACATGGAAAACAAACTGGTTCCAAATCGAGAAAAGAGTACATCAAGGCTGTATATTGTCACCCTGCTTATTTAACTTATATGAAGGGTACATCATGCCAAATGCGAGGCTGGATGAAGCACAAGCTGGAATCAAGATTACTGGGAGAAATATCAATAATCTCAGATGGGCAGATGACACCACCCTTATGGCATAAAAGAGGAACTAAAGAGTCTCTTGATGAAAGTGAAAGAGGAAAGTGAAAAGTTTGCCTTAAACTCAA